GCCGCTAATAATACCCCTGCCCCAAACGCACACCACCGTGAACGTGCGGAGCATCCAAGGCCAACCAAGTTATTTTGCCACCCGAGGCAGAAAATTTCACAAGTCTGTCTCTTTCTCCCCGCTTGGTAGTAAAAAGAAAGAAAGAAAATAACAATAGCTTAAACTCCTGCCTTTTCGTGAGAAGACTAGCTGCCAAAAAATGGCTGCCCCGCTAAGGCAGAATTACCAGCTGCAGAGGAAACTGCCTGTTGTGTCTCTGCATGAGTCACGCTGTAATGGGTAGGCCTGGTCCACCCATGAGGCGAGGTGAGGCAATTGCCTTGGGCAGCAGATCCAGCTTCCAATAAATCAGAGGTCAGCAAACCTTTTCAGCGGAGGGCTGGTCCACTGTCCTTCAGACCTTGTGAGGGGGGCCCGGATTATATTGGGGGGGGGATATGAACAAGTTCCTATGCCCCACAAATAACCCAGAGATGCATTTTAAATAAAAGGACACATTCTACTCATGTAAAAGCATGATGATTCCTGGACCATCCGCGGGCCGGGTTTAGAAGGCAATTGGGCCAGATCTGGCCCCCTGGCCTTAGTTTACCTACCCATGCAATAAATGTTTCACCAGCTGCTGCTAATGTGGCAACTCTGACGGCTGTGATGCACACCTTCAAGGACAGATCTGCTACACCCTCAGCAGTCTCTTGGCAAATAGGAGATGCTGTGGTCTTCTCCCACCCTTGATCCAGAAGTCAATCTCCTCTCTTCCTCCCCCCTCCCCCCCTCCCCGTTCCTGATAGAGATCCTCACTCGCACCTTCTTCTTCTTCAGATAACTCCATACCCTCCGACATTTCTCCAATGAAAACAGGGGCGTCCTAAGGAAAAGAGGGACATTCCGGGATCAAATCAGAAACTGGGACGGCAAATTTACGGCATGTACTGCGTTGAAAGAAAATGTAATGAAAATGTTTTACAGATGGTATATAACGCCAGTTAAACTGGCCAAAATGTATAAAACATGCAATAAGTGTTGGAAATGTAAAGAAAAAGAAGGTACTTTCTATCATATGTGGTGGGAGTGTAAAAAGGTGAAAGACTACTGGGAAATGATATACAATGAATTGAAAAAGATGTTGAAATATACGTTCGTTAAAAACCAGAAGCCTTTCTATTAGGAATGGTAGGAAACGAAATCAATAAGAGAGACTGTAAACTGTTTCAATATGCAGTGACTGCCGCAAGGATACTTCTGGCCCAAAGATGGAAACAGGAAGAAATTCCAACAGTGGAAGAATGGAGAAGGAAATTGACCGAATATGCAGAATTGGACAAATTGACTGGGAAGATTCGATACCAGAAAGACCAAAAGTTTATCGAGGACTGGGGGAAATTTACAGAATATCTGAAAAATATATGTGATGCACAGACAATGCTTGTTGGTTTTGAAGAGACTCTGTGAAATAGTAAATACTGCAAAAAAAGAGTAAGAGGAAAAGGAGTGGGGAAAGGCAATATCATGTTTAGAAATGCGTCAATAAATAGAAATTTTTTGAAAGATTGAAAGAGAAACTGAGGGAAGTCAAAAATTGAAGCATGAGTGTAAAATAATTTGTTGACTGTATAAAACTTGTTTGGAAAATGAATAAAAATTATTTTTTTTAAAAAAACAGAAACTGGGACGGCTTCTCTAAACCAGGGATACCCCTGGGAAATAGGGACACTTGAAGGGTCTGTTCTTCGCTGGTGGTGGGGGGCACCATTTTGTGGCCCAAAATGTCTTGGGCTGGCCCTGCCTATGGGGCTGGCACCAGGAGTGAAAGGGAACAGGCACAATAGGTGGTACCCAGCTGTCTTGTTTCTTCTTTTACAAGAGCGATTTCAGGCATCTCGTATCCATGTTAGAGTGACAACCCTAATTCCATCGCCTTCTAGCTACAGTGGTACCCTCAGGTTAAGAACTTAATTTGTTCTGGACGTCTGTTCTTAACCTGAAACTGTTCTTAACCCAAAGCACCACTTTAGCTAATGGGGCCTCCCGCTGCCACTGTGACGCCATTGCACGATTTCTGTTCTCATCCTGAAGCAAAGTTCTTCACCTGAGGTACTATTTCTGGGTTAGCGGAGTCTGTAACCTGAAGCATATGTAACCTGAAGTGTCTGTAACCCGAGGTACCACTGTATTTATCTTTGCAGCAGTAGACTGCATCTGCCTTGCAAAGCTTTTTCTTCACAGCCGTGAAAAACAGGGGAAAAATTACAAGGTCACCCTTCCAGCAACACCTACTTGCCCCCATTTCATCTTGAGGGTAGAACAGAAATCTAAGAAACAAAAGAATTCAAAAAGGTCTATAGTAGGAGAACATTTTCCAGATACAGACCTGACATTTCCCTACCACCACCACCGACAAGCAAAAGAAAAGGAAGTGATCACAAATGAAATCATTGCTTCCGGTAAAAGCAGACAGATGGAGAGAAATCCCAGTCTGTTTCCACTTTTTGTCTTTGGGGCATTTTTGGAATTTCCTCCAGGAAGTAAAAGGTTGCGACCTACGAAACCTCTTTCGGTTAGGCAGCGCAGTTTCCCACCATAAACAGTACAGAGAAATGACACAGCGCCTAAGAAGGTGAGGATTATCTTTGCAACCCAACTGCATCCTGTGCGTCTCGGTAAAATTCCAAGGCATTACCTAGAGAGAGGGAAGTGGAGGGGGCAGGAAGGGAGGAAGCACCAACATATGGAGAGATACAGGACCAAGAAAGAAAGAAAGAAAGAAAGAAAGAAAGAAAGAAAGAAAGAAAGAAAGAAAGAAAGAAAGAGAGAGAGAGAGAGAAAGAAAGAAAGAAAGAAAGAAAGAAAGAAAGAAAGAAAGAAAGAAAGAAAGAAAGAAATTTGGCTCTCAGAAACTGTTTAAGTTATCCAATTAATCAGGACTACTGGATATTGCTTGGGACATTAATCATTTGCAATCAGGAAAATGATTTTTAATATAATTGTGGTGTGTATGATTAATGAGGCATCTGCAATTAAAGGAACAGTGCCATCCTATATCTCAACTTTGAAGCAAACCCTAATGAAAGATTGCAGTCCAATTGTATGAGAGAAACAAAAGGGAATTGAAAATATTGTTGTAACATTTAACATTATTGTGCAATACATTATTAGCATTATGATATATTCTGTATACGGGACGTAGGTGACGCTGTGGGTAAAACCTCAGTGCCTAGGACTTGCCGATCGTATGGTCGGCGGTTCGAATCCCCGCGGCGGGGTGAGCTCCCGTCGTTCGGTCCCAGCTCCTGCCCACCTAGCAGTTCGAAAGCACCCCTAAGTGCAAGTAAATAAATAGGTACCGCTTTATAGCGGGAAGGTAACGGCGTTTCCGTGTGCTGCGCTGGTGCTGGCTCGCCAGAGCAGCTTCGTCACGCTGGCCACGTGACCCGGAAGTGTCCGGACAGTGCTGGCTCCCGGCCTCTTAAGCGAGATGAGCATGCAACCCCAGAGTCGGTCACGACTGGCCCGTACGGGCAGGGGTACCTTTACCTTTCCTATATTCTGTATATGTATTTTTAATTAAAAAAAAAACAAGATATTGAATATTAGTGCTCTCTGCATGAAAACATCAGGTGGGGGAATATTCTGATCAAGGTGTCAATCCTACACCACCACAGGTCGGAAGAAGAGACTGTTTGCCACCACTCCTAGCACAGGCAATTAACATAAGTGTCTGTCCTTGCTCTGGTTGTAAGGAAGCAAGTCTGCACCCTTCTTCCCTTGGGCTTAGCACAAAAACAGGGCTGTGGGGGGTATCAGGGAGATCATGCCTAACCTCTAGCTTCCTTGCATATTCTTATTCCAGAGCACTGATATATCCATGCAGCAGAACCATGTGCTAGCCTTCCCAAGAATGAACCATTCAGATGGCTGGCAAGGGCTGCTCTTTTGATTTCGTTCATTAGCAGCTTTCAGTGCTGATGTATTCACAAGATATCCTTCTGTCCCGTCTAATGAAGTGAAAGGTCCACGTGGCTAGAGAACAAAAATATACAGGCAACCGAGGTGTTGTGATAGGGAAATGGGGACCAAAAGATTTTCCTTCAATATGTCAGGACTGGAGAGTCACCGGGATACTGAAGATTCAATTCCAAAAAGTTCTCTCTCTCTGTGTGTGTGTGTGTGTGTGTGTGTGTGTGTGATTTTAGTAGTCCTTTTTTTTTTATACCTCCCAATTACTAGAATTGGAAGTGTTCATGAGAAACAGTGGGGCGTCCTTTGAAATGGGTTGCTTTCCACCCTTCATTACCTCAGGCCCGCTAATGAGCAGCTCTTCGACTTGTGCATTTTTCTCGTGTTGCCTTTTCCAAGCGTGGTTGAACAAACGTTCGCATCGCGAACAGGTTGCAGAAATCGCCCTTCTCCTTCTGTGTGCAATGAGGCTGTCCCTGCAATTCCCACCCTGGCCTTTCCCAAAATCTGCCACTCGGCTTATTTCTCCAGGCCAAACTGAAGCCATTGCTTCATCCGATGTTACGTTGGCCTGTGGCACTCTCTCTTGCTGCAGATGCAAGGGAAACAATTCACCTCACAGCCATCCCCACCCAGGTTTTAATGTCTTCAGTGTGAAGGTCTGTAGAGAGCGTTTGCCCGCTTCTTGCGCTTTAATTTGAACCACAAACACTTCCCTCCTGCTTGAGGCCAGGACACGTTGAATGACCTAGGCCTGGCACTGTCGCATTTAGGTTGATCTTAATTGCTGCAAATGTATTGCTGGGAAAGGGAGTTTAATTACTCCAATTTCTACCTGCCCTGGTTTGAATGCTCCCTTGTTGAGCCGCTGACCAGAATTTGCTGCTCTTGACAGGTCTTTTTGCATCTACGTGTTCTGTTTACCACACAAATGTTAACCTGCCTCTCCTGGGCATAGAAGTAATGTGAATTGTGAAAATTGTCCAAAAGCCTGTCGTAAGAATAGGTACAGATAAAAATGCGACAGAAGGAATGTTCACGGCAGAACTTGTACAAAACCCTCAGTTTATTTATATTTAGAGGTCAACGCAGCTATGTGCAAACTGTACAACCAAAGTCAGAAACAAGTTAAATTCTATTTTTGTTTTTACAAAAAGAATTGCACTAGGAATACTAGAAGGCCAGCAGTCTTATTTTTTTTAAAAAAACCAATATTTGTACATTAATGCATTGAATTCAGCAGTCCTGCATAATTACCTCAGTAACACTCTCGGACAACAACCTTCAACCGTTGGGTCTGGGCCCACATCACTGAACACCCTACTGCCAATTTCTTTTCAATGTATAGATTTGGAATTTTTGGCACACAAAACATGAGCTCTGTAACTCAGCTATGGCCCCTCCTCCCCAAAGGAGGAAGAGAGTCACTGCGACTTTTTAACAGCTGCGTAACAAAAAGTAATTTCAGGTGGCCTGACTTTTTGCATCTGCACAACCTCCTGAAATTTCCTTTCCTACACAGCTGAAATACAGCAGCTCTGCTATCCTCCTTTGCACCCAGTCACTCTTTTTGGAGAAGATGAGGGAGGGGGAAAAACTTGAGAGAGGCACCAAATAATTTAAACCAGGGACTCAGCTACATTCGTAAAGATAAAGGACTTTATATGCGTTATAACACCGCGACACCAGGTGGCGCTGTGGAGTCCCGTTTTTCGCTAATGGGATTTCCCACTATGAAGTTTACAACGCGTTTAACTAAATCGCTTCTTGATGTGTTTAGAACCAGCCCAGGTCCCATGAGATTTAAGGTGAGTCCCAAATTATTGATACAAATGGAAAACTATTACTCTTAGCACAGGACAGCTACTATCCTGGTTAGCTTCTCTACACACTGTACACATTGTACACACAGAATGTGCACCCAATTAACTCGGGTCAAATATATATTTATATGTATATATTTACACACAAACACACAGAGCCCAGCAATTGATGCTGTGGCAAATTACATTCAATTAACACAACAAATACTTTCTGTGGACATCGGCAAACTTATAAACACCTTTTAAAATTGCAAACGTTCTGGGATCTAAAAGAATCTGGGGTGGAATGCAGACCATTGGCTTCGTCCAAACTTTATCCAGCGTTCAAGGCTTCAGACGCCTCCAAGAGCCGTCGCTCGGCCTAAACTATGATAGGATTATTCCGAGAATAAGTGAGACAATAGTTTGTACGGCCCCTCATGCGCCGAGGTGCTATCGAAATTGCTAACAATAAATGCACCTTGTTATCGAGTGGCACATTTATCAAATCAATTTCATGCCAAGGTTCAAATGAGGCCCCTTCCGTTCCAGACATCCCCAGCCTAACTCAAGTGTAGTCCCATTCAATTCAGGAGAATTCAATGGCAGCATGCAGTGAGAGGCAGTGTTCTTCAAACTAACCATTGAAGCCCTCCATGTCCCAGTTCCCACCAACTTCTAATTGAAAGTCAAGTGGCGCTTTGGCCAATCTTGAAGCAAAACACTCAAATTCTCTTTAGATTTGCCCAGAAGAGAATCGACAGGCAGATTGGCTTCCCCTTGCTGCTCAGTAAGGTGGGGAGGGCTGTTATTCAAAAGAAGAAGGAAAAACCCAGTAAGCTCTTTATTTTATAGGTTCACATTTTTCTGGAGAGGAAAATAGTATTTTCCACCCCCCACCCACCCTCATTCAACAGGTGTCGTTTCACCAAGGTTTCAGTCTTCGGAGTTATATAGGGCACAAACACTTCCAGCAACCCTAAGTGGCCTCGTTGCAATCCCAAACGACACACAACAAACTTCCAGGGAGGAAATGTTTTCAAGTCACACAATCTGTCCCCGCTCCTCCCCTCGCAAGTGCCACACAACTCCCCTTCAAGCCTATCCTTTCCCTCATCTTGGCGTGAGACAAGTGATCAGAACCATTCCACGCATCGGCCTTCGGCGGGCCCACGCCTCCTCCATTCGAGAGCTCCTACGATGACGAGGTGACATTACCCGAAGACACAATAGTTTCTGGAGAGTCGCCCTCGTCTTTCTGCGGGTGGGAGGAGTTGTCGGATCTGCTTCGGCTGAACTCAATCCCCCCAATGATGGGCCTCTTAAATTTGGTCCCGGAGTCTGCGGCGGGACATTTGCAGCACGACATAATCTTGACAAAAGCTCTCCGCATCTCCTTGTTCGTTAGCGTGTAGATGATCGGGTTTGTGGCCGAGTTGAGAACCGCCAGTACTAAGAAATATTCGGCCTTGAGGAGAACTGGGCAAGTCCGGACTTTGCACCGCACGTCCAGTAAGAGGAGAATGAACAAAGGGGCCCAGCAGATAATGAACACACTTAAAACAATGATCACCGTCTTGAGCAGAGCTAGAGACTTCTCGGAGCTCCTGGTGGCTTTGGCCATGTTCTTCCGGAAAGTCAGCTGACGGCTCTTGGTCCTTACCAAGATGTAGATCCTGCAGTAAAGAACCACGATAGACAACAAGAGGCCCGTGAAGACCGAGGTGCAGAAGAGGATATAATACTTGTGGTAGAGGGGCAACACGGTGGAACAGCTTTGTAGACGTTGGATGCAGTTCCAGCCCATAATGGGGAGACCTCCTAATATCACAGAGATGAGCCAGCAGGCACTGATCAACAGGAAAGAACGGGAACTGTTGCTGCTGTTGTGAAGCTTCATCTTCAACATTGTAATGTATCTCTCAATGGCGATGGCCAGGAGGCTGAACACAGAGGCGGACAACGCCACAAACATGCTCCCTTCCCTTAGAAACCACTGGGCAGGGGTGAGGGTGTAGGTCTTGTGTCCGGACAGTAAGAGGTTGGCGACATAAGCCACCCCGGCCAGCAAGTCAGAGAGTGCCAAGTTGCCAATGAAATAGTACATAGGCCTGTGGAACTTCTTTGTTTTCCAGATGGTCAGAAGGACAAAGATGTTCTCCAGGATGATGAAGCAACAGATGATGATGAAGACCGCAGAACTTGCTTTGATCCCGGTGTCCGCGTTTTCATTTAGCTTCCCCGTGAAGTTGTAATGCTCTATGATGATCTCATAGTTGAGATAGTCGCTGACTCCACCGAAGGCCTTCACGTGGGGGTCCTTGGTGGAGTCCATGGTGCCAGCCTGAGTTGCAGTTCTCCAGACGGCCACCAAGAGGCGATGTGGAGCAGGTAGTTCAGCAGCTGCCCCGGGCTTCAAGGTCCAAACGTCTGCGGCTTCCAACGTCTAGCTCCTTCTGGGTAACCTCAGTAACCACAGTCCTTAAAAGCAGGAGACACAAGCAAAAAGACGTTAATTTAGGAGAAGTGATTTATTGTTATTATACTATTGTTGCAAGTCCAAAGTGAACAATCTGAAAACCCAAACATGAAATCCTGCAAATTTGCCCACTGGCAAGTAAAATGACGCACCCGATGGGGTATATTATTCAGATTTTATTAGTTAACTAAACCTCATCCAGCGTCAGCTGAAGTGCTAATAGCTTATATGAAACTGTTAACACCTATATCAGGACATAACACCTAGCCGAATAAAGGTGTTAGCAGTTCAACTGATGGCAGGTTGGGTTTATTTAACCAATAAATAACACCTCAGTAGCACAGGGGAAGGCAATGGGTAAAAAAAAGCCACACTGACATCTTCTGGTTTTGACACATGTTCATACATTCATGCTTATAGCCATGAGAAACTCTATCTCGTTTTATATAAAAGCTGCCCAGATTTCCACACCGAAAGCCGAGTCATACCATTTGTAATCAGATCACAGCAGCAAAGTGAAAACTTCTGCCCTTTTTTTTAAAAAAAAAGGCTCACTCTCGACATGACCGAAATCTAAAACTGCTGACTTGTCTCATAAAACCCGGGGTTATTGCATAAAACAAATTTGACTTTTGAAAGGATTAAAGAGAAGGAACCGTATAATTTATCTGCTGCACACGTCTACCCAGAGGTAAGCAAGGAGGTGTGTTTAGGATTGCAGTGGAACCCACCCTAAATTAGCTTTGTAAGAGAGGTTTAAAGGAAGGCGTAATTCAGGGGTGAGGAACCTGCTCCCCTCCAGAAGCAATTGGATTCTCATCAGCCACTGGGGAAAGACTGAATTTGAGACATGTGTATTGCATGCAGACGTCTCAAGTTCAATCCCCAGGTATGCTCCAGAAATACTCATCTGAATCGCTGCAGCTGCTGGTCAGTGTAGACCAGTGTTTCCCAAACGTGGGTTTCCAGCTGTTTTGGGACTACAATTCCCACCATCTCTGACCACTGGTTCTGCTAGCTAGGGATGATGGGAGTTGTAGTCCAAAAACAGCTGGAGACCCAAGTTTGGGAAACACTGATGTGAACAATATTGGGATATGTGGACCCGTGACTCAGCTTCCCAGGTTCCAGCCCCAGTCGGCATGGCCCAAAGTCAAGGCTGATGGGAGCTGTAGTCAAGCAACATCTGGACGGCCGCCGCTTCCACATCCCTGGCATAACTTGCAAAAAAATGGGGAAGTTGCCCTCTGTCACGAACAACAACTGAAGAAAGTGTGGTGTCAGCAAAAATAAAAATCAGTAAAGCTAACAGAAAGCGAGGAAATAAAATGCAAGTCTCCCGGGACTTTCTATTTGGGAGTTGAGAAGAGATAACAGAATGGCCTTTGGCTACTGCCTTGCATGCAGTTTGGAGGTTTGTGTTCCGTGGATTCCAGTAGCCCAACTCGTATCTGTGCAGGATTTGCCATCCACAATTAAGTTAGCAGGAGAAGGAAAATAAGTGTAAAAGGAGATATGGAATTGAGGATTAACAGAGCACAGAAGGCACCCACAACGTTGTGACCACACTATTGATTGTGGTCAATTAACTTGACAGAGGAAATAAAGCTAAAACCTTCAATAAGGCTGCAATCCTGAACACACCAGTAAATCCCAGTGAAATAATTATTATTATTATTATTATTATTATTATTATTATTATTAATTGAATTCATATTCCGTCCTATACCCAGAGGACTTAGGGCGGTTCACAGAACAAAATCAAAATATAAAACCACAAAATATATAATCAAAATATGCTTAGGAATGCACTACAAGCTTTTCATGAAAGGGAAAAGTGAAGCTCACTCTATTCATTGGATAACCTTCATTCAAGGCTGAACAATACTGACTTTTCAAAGGGTGAGTATCATAACAAAGTCCAAATCACACAAGACCTTTCCCATTGAGTTACAAGACATACCAGTTTAAGTTACACACACACACACACACACACACACACACACCAATTTCAAATGGCATGTACCTTAAGCCTAGAATCAATGGCTGAACAGGCACAGTGTCATTTAAACGTGACGTACCGAAGTTTCAAAAGTACGAATTTGAGTCAGGCTTGGAACCCAAGCAGATCCTCACCTCCAGACCCAGAAATCATGCAGCCCTCTACCAGATTGCTATCCCTAGAAACACACCACATTCAGGAATTGAAGATAATTGGGCTCTTACATAAGCCCTGTGAACGCATGAAAGGAAGGGGGGGGGAGGAATCAGTATTTTCTGCATCTTCTTCAAACCTCCACTTAAGTTCTAAACAGGACCTAAGTTCCCACAAGTTGCACGCGCGGTCCAGTAATGCTGCCTCCTCCAGAGTTCCTAATCGCGCAACGTGCACCGATGCGCATACAGCTAGTACTTTGCCCAGGATGGGTAAGTTGTGAAAGGCGACAGCAAGCAGAGTTGAACCGTCCCTGCTTCTCACACGTAGGACAGGCACAGGGATACCGTACGACAGAAAGAGCTCTGAAGGTCATCAGGTCCCGTGGACTCAAACAGGACCAGACCCTTTTCAGAGTCGATGAGTCCATAGGATTGAAGCCGATGGCTGAAGGGGCCCTGGCGGACTTTGGACAAGAGCTGCCGATTGACAAAAGGGTCCGAGCAAGTAAGATGCTCCCACATACAACGAAGAGGAAAATAAACCGAGGGCATCGGACGAAACGAACAGGGTGAAAATTGCTTACTGTTCCCAGACATAGCAAGGCTTAAACTCACGTAGCTTGAGAACAAAGCTCCTGTCCCTTGGACCCTCCAGTAAATTTATGTCCTGTTCCTTTGACGTCCGCTCTCAAGTTTGCCTCCCTGCAGTCCCCCCTGGGAGGGGGTGTGGAGGAGAACACCCTCTTTTAAAAGAAACAAATAGTTGTTCTAGTACCTCGGTTGCACTAAACCATCCACTAACCACTTTCTTGTTGGAGTCTGCCATGTCTAACTCAATACCCAAGTACATCAGACAAGGGTTCTAATCTAACCACAGAGCTCCCTTGGGAAAGGTTTCCACAGAAAGCCTTTCAGCAGCCGAATCTTTGGCTCCTGAAAATCACTCATTTTTTGCGCATTAAAAAAAATAAATTGCACAGATATACTTGGGGAAATCTCCGTCTTATGAACATTTCCCATTCTCGAGGCCAGCATATCAACTTCTACACCATCATCAAACTCAGCGATGCACCCATACCTCTAAAAAAACGGGATATGGTTTATGCGCTGCCAATATCTCTAGTACATCTTATTCATTCATTCCGATCCTCTCCTGTGCCTCGCTTCATAACACATGGATCCCAGGCATCGCCTCCTCAGTGGAGTCTGCACTGCCAGCAGTGAAAACACGTGCCATCGCAGCCCGTGGAAGTTAGCCCCCGCAACTGAAGTTAGCTTGTCGCCAAACAAATGGAAGTTCGTTCTCAGCTGCCTGCAATACCAGCCGCTGAGTGGCATGTGGCAAGGAGCCTTCGGGAATCAAATATTCAGATCAGACCCAGAACGCTTCTCAGCAGAGGAGACCAGGACCTGCAGGACCAGACTAGAGGCAGTTTGCATGCTCAACTGCTAGGCAATAAGTATGGAGAAAGTTGAGAGAGGAGGGAACCAAGTACACAAATCACAACATCCCTGGGGGAGTTTGCTGCTTCAGATTAACACAGTTTATTCCTAACTTTCTCCAGCAATTCAGGGGGGTAGGCTGAGGTTTTCTGGCGAGATCCCAGCAAACAGATCCAGGCCACAGCCCCCTCCCCAAGCCCCGATACCCATATAATTCCACGGTGTCCCTTCCAACTCTACCATTCTATGATCCTGCGCGTGCTTTCCTAGAGCCTCACTGAACACAATGAGGTTCGCTTGCAAGGAAGCCTGCATAGGGTTGCATTTAAAAATAAAATAAATCACAGCCAATTCCACAGAACGACCCCCCCCCCAACAAAGCCAGTCCATTCCCCCACATTACGGAGATGCAAAGCTGGGGTTGCCGTCGAATGCACGCTGGAGAGCTCACTGACGCGAGCACTTGCAAACGCGTGTCGTTCTTACATTCACACGTGCACCCAGCCAAACCGGACCTTGCCAAGACCCAGCACCCACAGCCAGCCAGTCCCTTCTCCCAAATCTTACCTCTCTCGGGCAGGACGCGGGTCTCTCCGGAGGCGGCTGCGCTTCGCATGGCGCGCGTCCCGCCGGCCGCCTCCTTCGCAGAAGAAGAAGAAGAAAAGCCGGGCAGCTCATGGAAAAACCTTTCCCTTTTTTCCTCTTTTTCTTTTTTTGCCAAGTGGCGCCCACCCCTTCGCAGTTTCCTATTATTGTCGCGCTTCCCCGCCCTCCCCCTTACTTACGCGGCTCTCCCGCGTTAACTCTTGGCAAGCCTGGAGCGCACGGCGCGCAGACAACGCGGAGGCGCAGCGCTCGCTCTTCGCTTGCCAAGTCCCGGGCAAAACTGGCCGGCGGCTCTTGGGCGGCGGCTCTTAAACGGAGCGCAGCTGCGGAAGGGTTAACACCTGTTTCCTTCCTTCCTTCCTTCCTACTCGCCCCCACCTCCCCCCAAAAAAGTTCGCGTCTGGCTCCGTGCGGGGACTGCGCGCGCGCGCAGCGGGAGAGGCGGATTTCACACGAGAGGGAAGTCGTCCGCGGACCACGCGGCTGCCTCTGACCCCTGCTGCCTCAGGGTTGCCATCGTCTGGTTGCAAACTGCTCCTGTGCCTTTAACAGCCTCCGGATTTGCAAGACTGAAAAGGCTCATCTGCATATCTTGAAAAGCTTTTCTTTCTGTTTTTCTGGAGGCTACACTGCTGCACCAAACCAAGAGCCGGATTTTCCCTCCTGGCCAGTTGGGAAAACTCTTATGTGGATCTGCACGTGTTTCATAGAATCCTAGAATTGTAGGGGTCATCTAGTCCCACCCCCTGCAATGCAAGAATTTCAGCTAAATCATACATGACAGATGGTCATCCAACCTCCGCTTTAAAACCTCCAAGGAAGGATAGTCCACCACTTCTTGTGGCAGTCTGTTCCACTGTCCAACACTCTGTCACTCTGAGTTACTTGTTTTAAAACACCAACCTATAAGCTTAATAAACAAGGCAAATCTTTCTGCATCACGTTCACACCACACATTTAAAAGAATCATGGGGATTTTAGTTTATTCCTCCCAAAGCTAGGATTCCTGACCTTTCCCATGATTCTTTGGGGGAAGTCATGTGCTTTAAATGGATGGTGTGAATGAGACTGCCTCCCCAGCCTCTTTCTTCCTTCCTTCCTTCCTTCCTTCCTTCCTTCCTTCCTTCCTTCCTTCCTTCCTTCCTCTTTCTCTCTCTCTCTCTCTCAGTGGAACAGCTTGGAAAGGCAGAATGAAATCAGCTCACCTGCCTGAATTTGATAAATTTCAGTGTTTCTTCAAAATCCAATGATTCCTTGAGTTTCTTGAGGCCTAGAGACCTTGTTACCGCACTATTTTCATTGCTATACAATTGCATTATCTTCAGATCCCTTCATCTTCACTCATCTCCTCCTTACCTTCAGCCTCTTCTTCATCAGACTCCTTCTCACTTCTGGCAGAACTAAATTCCTCCTTTGCTGCTTGGTCTTTGGCTTCATCCAGCATCTCCAGGAAGTTGTTTAGGAAGGTGACGCAGCCTGTCGTTTCTGACTCTGCTTTGATCTTGGCGATGAGCTCAGAAATTTCAAGGCATCTCCCACTTCCTTCAAATTCCTCTCCCTCATCATCTGGACAGTCTTCTTAGATCACTTCCCAACAACCTGGTTACGTCTTGATCTGTTTTATGGGAGGTCGGCTGCACCGAGCAAATGTTATCCCAAACACTCTGGTGCCTTTTCCTCTTGCTTATCGCAAAAAAGCCCCCAAAATATTTGAAAAGCAAGTTTGTTGGGCAAGAGCTCCATAATAACTTTAATTGCACAATCTGTCTTTGCCAGCATGCGATTGAATCCCATCCAAAAATAGCAGCGGTCTGGACAGGCCCTTAATATCCTTCCTTTTTGTGCAAGGTCTTGTGGAGAATAGACTCTCAAATTCTGTGGAAGTGCAAGTTGAGCTGTCTTCAGGGCAACACTTCAGCTGATGGAACCACTGACAAAGGAGAACAGAGGTGGATTGAATAGTTGGCACAACCACATCCAGCGAAAGGAAAGGATACGATGTGCTTGTTCATGCATGCATTTGTCACTCGATGGCACACATGAACCGACTCCACTGAAAAGTATTGCTCTTTAGGTACCATTGGTGACTGGGAAGTTCTGAATGTGGCATTGGAGCTAGGACTGGTCAAAGTCATCAATCATGTCTTGATAGGTAAAGTGCCATTTTATCACACATGCTTTAATATATCTGCTCTCTTTTCCTCCGAAAAAACAATCTCTCAAAGGACCTGTTGAGACCATTTTACCATTGTACTGTTGAGAGTGTATTAACTTATGGTCTCTGTGTGTGGTTTGGGAGCTGCACAGTCAGGGAAAAAACAATGCTGTCCAGGGTTGTAAAGACTGCGGAGAGAATAATTGGGTGCACTCTTCCCACCTTGGATCAACATATCTATGCTTCCAGGTGCCATAAGAAAGCTGCAGAGATAGCGCAGGATAGTGCGCACCCCGGAAATGATCTCTTTCAGCTTCTGCCTTATGGAAGAAGGTACAGGGTTATAAAGACTAGGACTAGCTGCCTGAGAAACAGTTTCTATCCAAATGCGATTTTGGTTTTAAACGCAGTGTAAGGAGTCTCTATCGGAGTATATTGTATTTTATCAGAGTTTTTAGGGGGCTAACCAGCTTGGGATAGCAGGCTTGTTGGTTTTTGAATGTCTTATGTAGATTTTTTACAATTTCGTTGTTCTGTATGGGACAATGACAAAAAAGATTATCGTATTGTGGTTTTTTTAATTTAAAAAATCCTCTTGACCATTCAGCACAACGATTGATGAGATATTCCACTCTTCTTCGTGGGCTGATCAAAAGGCTAGCTGTAAATACTTGGGTGGGTGTCACCCAAGGAACCCCATCGGTGGAAGCACTCCTCTCCACCCCCCCACAGAGCCCCCAAATTGGCTCGAGGGGACCCCAGAACAGCATGCAAGGGGAGGAGCAGGAGGGTCATCCCATCTGGCAATGCTCAGATTAAATGTTTATAGTGCTGTGGCCCTGAATACCACCTTCTGCATCTATCCTGCTTAATGTACACACCACATACGTGAATCGGACCTTTAAAACCTAATGGGATGGTTATAAAGTACGTCTTTCAAAATCCCTGTTGAAAGCAGTGGGGGAATGGTGCTTAACTGTTCTTCCTGCTCGGCTCCTGTTTGCTTTGGCTTGCTCTCTCCTACACCGAACAAGGTCCCTTAAATGTGTGCACACCAAGTTGGGTGCACCCCCTTCCTATCCATTCTGAACAGAGCAGAGGTGCAAAGCTGCTATACACACATCTATCAATGTGGAGTAACAGCCGTTCCCCTGAACCCCTGAAGCACAAATCAGAACTGTCCTTACTCTGCCTACGAGTTTGCATAAAGAGTGAAAATATCAGGCATAGGAGTGGCAAAAAAGTATTCTGATTTATCATCTCGATTTGCCAGACGAGGTGGTTAACAGGGAGGTAACAGGAAACTCTACTCTGTACTGTCTTTGGCAAGCTCTTCTTAAGGGGGTGTGATAAAGCCAGGGAAATGTCTTGCAAACTTGCAGACACAAATGAAGAGGATCAGGTCTTCTACCAGCAATTGCCCAGTAGGGAGCAACTTCCCGTTGGGATGGGTATACACGTGAACCTAAAGGTCAAATGCCCTTCCTTTTTCTGGTACCCTGCCCCACCAGTTTAGGGGGATACTGATTCACTGCCAGCGACTGTATTGGGATATGCATCTTATTCTGGGCCAGACCAGTTAAAGAAAAGAAAAGAAAGATGAAGCAAAGGACCAGGACGACTTTTCTACTCCTGGCCTCGTCTGTTATTCTCATGATCACTGATCCTAGCTGTTGCAACCCGAGAGATGGATTGGTGCGGAGAATGCATCAAAAGTTTATTTCCTCTTGCCTAAAACATCTACACACTACTTACCACTTCATTTTGTAACAAAGTGTAAATATTTCCTCTTTCATTCTTGCATTGCTTGTTGTTTGTGCCACTCTGATATGGTCCCATATCTGAAACCATTAATCAGCCTGATGTAATTTCCCCTTGTCTCTGATAACTGTTGAAGATCTCTAAGATTATATTGGCATTTTGTGTAAAGGAGTATATGATAAAGTGCACAAGACATAGGAGAAATAGGCCTTTATCAATTTGGGGTGGATTTCTGGGGTGTTCTTCAATATGATGTTGGATAACTTCTAAACCTGCTATCAATATATTACTCCATTTATTTTGAACAAAGGAAACAATAATTATAATCCCCGTTATTGGAAATATAATTGGAAGGGAGGTCTTTGGTTTGATTTCATTAGGTATGTATTGGGAAATTTTTAATGTCTCATGTTTTACCATTTTTAATATATGTTGTAAGCTGCCCAGAGTGGCTGGGGAAACTCAGCCAGATGGATGGGGTATAAATAATAAAACTACAGTGGAACCTTGGTTTTCTAACGTCTCCGTTGACGAACATTTCGGAACCCAAACACCGTAAACCCAGAAGTAAATACATCCGTTTTCGAAAGCGCCTCAGAAGTCGAACTTCTGAGGCAGCTTCCATTTTGAGTTTTCCTATTGTATTGAGGCTTCTGTTTTGAGTTTTCTGTTTTTGGACATTTCGGAACAGATTACGTTTGAAAACCGAGGTTCGACTGTATTATTATTACCCAGAAGACGGTTTCAGAATAAGCCACCATTGAGGTCTGCTCCTGAGTTGGAAGAGGGCAATGGGTCAAGATTTGCCTGTGCCATACCAACCCAGAGCAGGATTCAACCAGTGGGGTGTGTGGGAGAGACTCCCAAAGGAAGTTCTTGATTGATACCTTGGATCAATGACTGGCCAATAATCACTATGAGTAATTATTGAAGAAGATCAAACGCATCCATTCTTAAAGAAATCAGCCCTGAGTGCTCACTGGAAGGACAGATCGTGAAGCTGAGGCTCCAGTACTTTGGCCACCTCATGAGAAGAGAAGACTCCCTGGAGAAGACACTGATGCTGGGAAAGATGGAGGGCACAAGGAGAAGGGGGCGACAGAGGACGAGATGGTTGGATAGTGTTTTCGAGGCTACCAGCATGAGTTTGACCAAACTGCGGGAGGTAGTGGAGGACAGAGGTGCCTGGCGTGCTCTGGTCCATGGGGTCACGAAGAGTCGGACACGACTAAACGACTAAACAACAACAACAACAACAATTATTGAAGAAACATCTGTTGCGTCTCCATCAACTAACAAGCTTGAGGACTTCAGGCCTGGCGACGTGCTCCTCATCAGTCTCAAGGGCTTTGACAATCACTGGAATGTGTCCTGGAACTGTGATAACAGAGTGGTGTGCATGTGTGAATGCGTGTTTAGAAACCTCTAGTTTTTGCTGTGTGGTCCAAATTGTACAGTACAATTTGCCTCTGGCCTCACCCACCGATTCCAAAAACTATGTGGCCCTTAGGAGGCTAGCCATGGGGGAATGTAACCTTTGGGCTGAAGAAGCTTCTCTGCTGCTGGTTTCTAAGACCCGAGAAAGGAAACATTCCAGCTTGGCTTGGCGTAAATGGTGAA